CCTTCCCCCTCATTACACCATTAGTAGCACCCTTGGAGGTTGAAGATAAGGCTTCCATTTCAGCTATAACTCGTTGCTCATCTTCCGAGTCCTCAGGGGATACATCATCATGTTCATTGGAGTGTCTTGAGTACTCTTCTTCCGTTAATTTCCGATATTTGAGTTTTTTCTTATTTTTTCCCATGAAAACCTCAAGGTGACTTGTTCAAAAATCTCAAGGCATGGGTAATCTTCTTGGATTCAAGTTTTGGTGAGCAATTCGTGAGTTGAACTGGAATTCAGAAAATCTTGGATTAATCTCGAGAGTTTCGGGCACTATAAATGGATTTATAGTGAGAGAATTTTGTCCTTCTCTCTAACCCTTTGTACCAAATTTCTTCATATTTAGAGAAATCTTAAAATTTTTCGCTGCTTAAAATCTTAAAATCTTCTTGGCCCTAGTCACTGGGTGTGCTGGCATGCTGCTGGGCACGGTCGAGCACGAGGGACGCGGGAAACGCCCGCGTGCCCAGGGTTGCCCGGCAGCACCCTGACAGCCCTAGCCGCGCCCGAGCCGCGCGAGTAGAGTCTGGCCGCGTCAGTTCTCGCGCCAGTCGCACCCGGGTCGTGCCAGTAGCACACCCAGTGCCCATAGAACTTGTTTAATCTAACATGATTCTCATTCATAAAGGGTAAATGTGTAATAACATGCAAAGCCAAGCTTTCAGTATATAACACTAACAACTTCCTCCATGGAATCGGTTACGGTCCCATCTTCCCGGTTAATCGAGGCAATGAAGTTCCGCTTCATTCGTTTTTTGACCAAGCCATGATAGAACTTAGTGCATTTATCACCCTTGATTTGAAAGTTGCATTTGGCTTTTTGTTGATAAAAGTGCTTCTCCGCTTTAGCCAAACTAAGAGCTTCAAGTCGAAGTGAGCCTATCTTGGACTTGGTTTCCGGGTCGTCAGGATTATCATGGAGCACTTTTTGATTTTGTGGGTAGTCCACATATTAAAGAACCTCCACGGTGACCCACAAGTGCGCCTTGCCTCGAAGATAGTTACCAAGCACGGAGAGTGGTCAGAAATACCAGGCGCAAGGAAGGTTGCATGTGAGAATAAATCGGCATTCTCCCATTGGGTATCCACCATAGCCCTATCTAGTTTCGACCATACATGGTTGTTGGTCCATGTGTGGAAGAAGCCGCTTGATGGTATATCCGACAACCCTAATTCATCACAAACTTCTCTAAGATCCCTAGTGTCCCGGTTGGTGACCCTTTCTCCTTTAATTTTCTCCTCCGACTTCATGATGGCATTAAAGTCCCCTAGAAGCATCCAAGGCAAGGGGGATTTCCCCCGAGCAGCCCTAAGGTCATTCCATAGTAATTTTCGATCTCCTCTCGTGTGTAGTCCATATATGAGACTAGCAATAAACGAGTGGTTGCTAACCTTACAGTGGACCTTAGCAAATATGACTTGAGGCAAGGTGGCCTCCACCTTGATGTTGACTTTTGCAGGGTTCCATAGTAGAGCAATACGCCCCCGATCAACAACATCAAAGTTTTCACAGAAATCCCAACCCGGCAATCTTCTATCTACAAAGAGAGCTAGTCGCCTAGCATCAGTTTTCGTTTCCAAAAGACCCAAAATGTCTATATTATTTCTTCGGATGAGGTTGATCACCTCATCTTGTTTTAGAGGCCCATTAAAGCCCCTAATGTTCCATGAGGCGATAATCATTGGGAAGAGGTGGGGATACCCCCCTTCTTCGCTTTATTTCCTTTGCCTCCTTCATTCCTCCCTCCCGGTTTGCCTCTTAACTTGGATTGATGGCCTGAGGGTACCGTAGATTGACTCGCGGCTCCGCTTCTGGTGATTATCTTGTTGCGCTTGCCCACTATTTGGAAGGTGTCTTCATCATTCAGTGGAGCGGTAATGGTTCGTGAGGATGAGATAGAGGTGTCCGAAGAAATGGTCACCTCCTCTTTCCTTGTTTCACCAATCCCTTCATTTGTTTCTTCTCCTTTGCTTTGATTGTGTTCGGCATCCTCCTTCTCATTGGGTTTATCCTTGTCTCCTCCTTTAGGTTGTTCAGTGGCTAAGGGGTCGTCTCTCTTCCTTTGTTCGGCTTCCTTAGTTTGGTGTTCACCAGTGGATTTTCCCTCGACTGGGTGGGGTTTTCCCTGTGCTCCCGTCTCCTTAGGTTTGTCTCCTCCCTTTTTAGTTTCCACCCATTTCTTAGTGGTTTCCATGGTCTCACCCTCCACTATCTTTTTCTTGCCTTCGGCTTTATTTTCACGGTGTGATTTGAACTTCCCACAGTTTGTAGTAGAGTGCCCGATGAACTTGCAGAAGTCACAATAATGAGGAACGTATTCATACTCCACTTTTTGATCAAATTGAAATTCCCCTTTTGAGGAGATGGGGACGCTAAGTACTCTTTCCTTTGAGAGGTCAAGTTCCACTAAAACCCGGGCATAGTTATGTCGAACTCGAGTTGCCGTGAGCTTGTCGGTGGAGATGGGTTTACCGACATAAGAAGCGATCTTGCTAAGAGCCTTACTACTCCAACATTCCCCGGGTAGGAGAGGGAAGTTGATCCAAACGGGAACGGTTTTGATGTCATCTTCCCCGAATTGGAACCAATTAAGGAGTACTTTTAGGATGAGACCCCGACCGTAGATAGTATAGGGCCCTCCGTGAAGTACTTTCGCTCTATCCTCTTCATTCTTGAATTTAAACACAATCCACCCATTGACATTGGGAACGTAATCATAGTGAACCCCCCATGAGTTGCAAAGGTTCAATAGCGCCTCCTTGCCCGGGTGCCTATGTGTGAAGTATCCGACTAGACAATAACCCCACGCGCTCGTTATGTCCAATAGGTCTTCCTCTTCTAGGTCCACCCCATTGACCGGTGGAATGTAGTCCAATTTAAGGCCAAGCGAGGCCTTACGGTTGTCGGCAAAGAGGGTCGAGAATGGTCTTTTTAATGGGACGGTTTTCTTTTGTGACATTTTGTCGAGCACCTTGTGTTCGCCTTTTGTGATTTGAGCGGTAGGCTTCTCTTGCATTTGTTGTTCCCTTCCAATAACCTCATCATCTACATCAATGTTGTCATTAGGTAAGCAAGCCTTAGAACTCTCCCCACTTACCTCCTTCCCCCTCATTACACCATTAGTAGCACCCTTGGAGGTTGAAGATAAGGCTTCCATTTCAGCTATAACTCGTTGCTCATCTTCCGAGTCCTCAGGGGATACATCATCATGTTCATTGGAGTGTCTTGAGTACTCTTCTTCCGTTAATTTCCGATATTTGAGTTTTTTCTTATTTTTTCCCATGAAAACCTCAAGGTGACTTGTTCAAAAATCTCAAGGCATGGGTAATCTTCTTGGATTCAAGTTTTGGTGAGCAATTCGTGAGTTGAACTGGAATTCAGAAAATCTTGGATTAATCTCGAGAGTTTCGGGCACTATAAATGGATTTATAGTGAGAGAATTTTGTCCTTCTCTCTAACCCTTTGTACCAAATTTCTTCATATTTAGAGAAATCTTAAAATTTTTCGCTGCTTAAAATCTTAAAATCTTCTTGGCCCTAGTCACTGGGTGTGCTGGCATGCTGCTGGGCACGGTCGAGCACGAGGGACGCGGGAAACGCCCGCGTGCCCAGGGTTGCCCGGCAGCACCCTGACAGCCCTAGCCGCGCCCGAGCCGCGCGAGTAGAGTCTGGCCGCGTCAGTTCTCGCGCCAGTCGCACCCGGGTCGTGCCAGTAGCACACCCAGTGCCCAGTCAACCCGGGTACGCGCCAGTTCCCGCGTCCCTCGTGCTCGACCGTGCCCAGCAGCACGCCAGCACACCCAGTGACTCTCGGTCGTGCCCAGCCGCACCTAGTGGCACCAGTCGTGCCAGGGCCCGTGCCAGCCGCACAGCCCGCGCCCAGCAGCGCCTAGTACCGTGCCCGGTCGCACCCAGCTAGTGCCCAGCGCCGTGCCATGGCCCCAGCAGGCCCGGCACGGGATCGAGCCCGACCAGTCCGAGCAGCCCGTGACCACCCGGTCCAGCGTGAACCGGTGGTCCAACCCGGTCCGGTTCAGCCCGACCCGGTTTAGCCAGTTAACGAACCGGCCAGTTTAGCCGGCGGTTCGAGTCTGTTTTGGTTCGTGATTTTCGGTCCGAGTCTTATTCCGAAATTTAAGTATTTTTCCGAGCCAAACCAGATCAGTTAAGCATATCAGTATTATTTCAGGACTTAGAATTATTTCTGTGAACCCTTAGAGCGTTCCTTTATATCTGGATGAGTAATCTGATAGAGTAGAGCATCCTAGCATATTTTTGAGCATATGACGAGCATAGTACTTAGTATATTTGTTTGCTTATATTTTTATGTAGCTTGAGGAGTCAGCTACCAGCACAGCCGCACTTACTCATTTTCAAAACCAATCAGGTGGGGACCCAGTCTGGGTTATACATTGAGTTTAATAGTCGATATCACGTTCAGGTATGTATATGAGTTTTATCCACTTTGGGTTAAGGCCAAGTTTGCATTCCCTAAGTTCTGGTGGTGGCCAGTTTGCCCTAATTATACCATCAGAGTGTGCACACGGTTACCGGCCAGAGTGTTCCGGGAGTTACCGGCCAGAGAGTTCCGGGAGTTACAGTCTACTTATATATACTTCATTTCAAGCGAAGTCGTTAGTTGGTCTTTTCATCCATGTTCAGAACCATCACCACGTGGTAGTCATTTTATCTGACATAAGGTTGGACGATTTGCTCCAAAATGATCTAGGATCTACAAGTAAATTAATCTTATCCAATCCATTTTATCAACAAATAAGATTTTTTTTTTTTCACCTATGAATTGATGAGCCACAGTATTTGATAACTTCGAACAAGCTTATCATTATTTGCTGCCACCAAACGGACACGTGTTTGAACCAAAGCTCGTCAAACCAAACACGACTTAAAAAACTAATTAATTAGTAAATACTAAATAACTATTCCCCAAAACCACTTACGTGTCGACTCCTCACGGCTGCTCTGACACACGTACTCCTCTCACCATCAAACCACTTTCTAGTAACCACTTCTCGATTTCTTCTATATAATCCCTGAACTAAAACCTTCAATCTACACCATCATCTCATAAAAATCTTTTTCTCATTAAAAAAAAATTATATCAACAGTCTTCTCGAAAAGGTAAGAAAAAACATGGCTCAATACGGCGGCGGCGACTATGGGAGGCAGACCGATGAGTACGGGAGGCAGACCGACGAGTACGGCAACCCAATCCAGCGTGGTGGAGAGGCCGGCCAGTACGGCGCCGGCACCGGCGGAGGAATCGGGACTGAACAGTACGGCGCCATCGGGTCGGATCCATATGGCGGCACCACCACCGGCACTGGCGGAGCGTATGGGACTCACGGAGGAGGGATGGCCACCGGGATGGCGGCCGGCGGCGGCGGCTTGGGCGGCCACCACCGCCGCTCTGGGAGTTCCAGCAGCTCGGTATATAATTGTTTCTTACATAGTTATATAGTTGTGGTCCGAAAATTGCTGTATGTTGCTAATTTTTATTTATTTATTTTTGCTTGAATTTGATGGCAGTCTGAGGATGACGGAATGGGCGGGAGGAGGAAGAAAGGGATAAAGGAGAAGATAAAGGAGAAGTTGCCCGGCGGTCACAAGGAGGGGCAGGTTGATCAGCCGAGTGGTGGTTATGGGTACGAAGAGCATCATGAGAAGAAGGGTATGATGGACAAAATTAAGGAGAAGATGCCAGGTGGCGGCCACCACTAGAATATACATAGCTGTTGTATGGTCTGTTGCGTGCATGCATAGTTGGTATGAATAAACACGCATAGTATGATTTGCGCGTGTTGTGTGGTTTGGGTTCGGTTTGTGTTAATTTTGATTTTGGTTTCGTTGTGCGTCTCCCTTCTTCTACAGAAGGAGAAGATAGTACGCCTTGTGTTGTATTGTATTGTATTGTTCTTTTAATGTTTGTTTAATGCACATATGTCATGTCAAAGTATATATGATTCAGTTTGTTTTGGAATTTGGATGATCCTCTATTCCTCGCTTGTGTGTCTTATCTTTTAGTAGAAAACTCAATTGCAATCATAGCACACCAATAGAACAGCAAAACATAAATAAAAGGAATAAAAACCCTAAAATCTCAATAAAAAACACAAGTAAAAATCTTATATGAACTCATGAGAATCAGTGCCACATTATGCAAAAAAACAATTCCAAAAGTTATTGAGAGACATTTTTCGTCTTCTGCACCACGAATACAACAGACATCTGTTTGATTCTATATAAAAAAGATGACATTGGAGTTTTGATTGTTTTTTTTTTTTAATTGGATCGATAAACTCTTAGATTTGGAATTGATGACCCCATAACTTTATTTTTTTCAACAGAAGTCCAAATTCTAAGCATTATTTGATCAAAGTAAACAGAAAAGGAAGACATGAATAAAAGATAAGATGAAGAGAGAACAAAACTGAGAAGGAATAAATCGGAAGAGAAAAAATGAAGAAGAAAGAAAGATTTAAATCGGTGAAAAGATTCGATACAACAGATAAACACTAAGTCAATCACTAATAAAATCGACGTAAACAATATAGTAAGAGAAATAAAATAATTACTTGTATAAAATAATTACTTATATAAAATAATTAACAATAATGTATAGAAAAATAAATAAATAATTACAAAAAAAAGAGTAGATATAAGGAGTAAATTTTCTCGAATTTTCGCCGATTTGTGTTTGGGAAGGCCCATTCGGAAGAAGTCACACAGTCACACTGGTCCGAAACCCCAATCGAATCGGGTTGTGTAGAAAAACAATAATCTATCTATCTATATCTATATCTATATCTATCTATCTATCTATATCTATATCTATATCTATCTATATCTATTCTATATCTATACAATTATAAAAGTACCAATGATGATGATATTATAAAAGTAACAATGAATCTGTAAAAATATGTTTTGCCTAAAATAACCTTACTCATCTTTTATCTTTATAATGGCAATTCTGTAATTCTACCCACCATTCCTATCACCAAATCCATCGGATAAGACGACTGAGGATTCAGCGCCATTCACGAAAAAAAAAATCACCATCTTCACGTTTCCTCCATCGGCGACCGACTGAGAATTCAGCGCCCTTCACGATCTCCTTCACCCGACCTCCGTCGGCACGGCTTGGGTGACGATTTTTTCAGGCATCGGTAAAATGAAGCTTGGGTGACGATTTTTATCCCAATCTACTATCTTTGCCGTTCAATTCGAGATTTGGATAGTTGTAATTTTGTTTCTTAAATTTGGATAAATGTAGGATTCAACTGGCAATTAATGTTCACATTCCAGTGGATTGCGGTGGCCTTTGGGGAAAGGCAATTTATACAAGTCTGTATCTGTTGGGATATGTTAAATAGCAAGTTATTCTTTATATCTAAATGCTATAAAATTATGCCTTGGACTTGGAGATTCTGCTTATAATATATAGCATTAAATTATGTGATGCTCAGACAGAGAAGTTAGTTTCATGGTCGAGCTGACCTGCAAAAAGCAGAGACTTCCGCACATTCACTTACATGGAGCAAATTGCCGTGGTGAATTACATGGAAAATTTATCAATGATCATAAAAATGTGAGTATTATAGCGAATCATGTGGTGGTCTAAACATGTGGCTTTGCTTTTCTCAGGTCAATGTTGTCATAAAAAAAATGTACGAAAAAAAAATTATATATTTGAGTATAATATTAATTAAAAAATCGTAATTATATATTATAATAAATATATACAATTAATTAATATATAATAAGGCATATGAACAAAAAAATTCTATACTTAATTTTATGCATTTTTTTAAACACATATGGACAAACAATATAAAGTGAAAAAAAAATTGATAATTATTATTAAAATATAATTAATTAAGTTGTAACACTTACTAATCAATATGAAAAAAATATAATTAAGAAAATTAAATACAAAACTTTTAAAACTTTTATTTTACTTATTGATATAATGGATTGTTCAACACTTGTTTATTAGTTCTACATGTAAATTTTAGGTGATAGATAATAGTTATTTGTACTTTTACCAATAAAGGTTAGAATTTAAAAAAAATTAATTATTCTAATTTTAAATAACTTCTTATTTGCTATTAATTTTTTAATATAGTATACAAATATCATATTACACATACAAAATAATAATTTTTTTCATTATTAATATTAATGTAAGAAACAAAACTCAATTGATAAATTAATAGGCAATCTTGAGATAAAATAAAAATTGATTTCTGAAAATTTATATGGACTAAAGTTCATATGTTTTATATATTTTCTATAGAAAATTTGTGAACACAATTAATTAATAACAAAAATTACTATATTGCAATGAAAAAATTCAACAGTAAGGCATTCCACTAAAAATTTCAATCGATATTTTACTGGTATAGCGTTCATTGAAATAATATATTTTTTAAATTTTTTATGAACAAAAATTTTATGTTGTAGTATAGTTACTCGATAATATAATTGATGAATTTATAAATTATGAATATTTGAGTATAATATTAATTATAAAATTGTGATTATTTATAATATAATATAAACATATCCAATTAATTGATTTATAATAAGACATGACCCAAAAAGTTCTATACTTTATCAAATTTTTAACAAATCTAAAAGTTTTACACACACACACACACATACACACACACACACACACACACAAACATACACACTCATATATATAAAGTGAAAAAATATTAAATATGAAATAATATTAAAAATAGAACTAAGTTGTAACACTTGCTAATAAATATGAAAAAAAGGTAAAAAAATAAAAAATAAAACTTTTATCAATAATAGAACTTAATATAAACTTTGAAAACTTGTTCTTATCGATGTAAATGAGTAAAGTTGTTAAACGCTTGTTAATGTTTTGTGCTTATAAATTCTATGTGTAAGTTTTAAGTAATAGACAATAGTTATTTATATTTTTATCCATATAGGTTAGAATTTCGAAATTAAAAAAAAATGATTATTCTAATTTTAAAAAACTTTTATATGCAATTACTTTTTTTAATATAATATATAAATATCATATTATACATACAAAATAATACTATTTTCATTATTTAATACTTAATATGTATAACTCACTTGATAAATTAATAGGTAAATATGAGATAAAATAATGAGTGATTTCTAAAAAAGTTATATGGACTAATAAATTCATGTGTTTAATATATTTTTAATAGAAAAATTATAAACACAATTAATTAATAAAAAACTACACTAAAAGAAATATTGTTATATTGCAATATAAAATCCAACGACATGTATTCCACTGAAAATTTCAACGGATATTTTATTAGTATAATTTTCATTGAAATTTCATTAGTTATTCCAACAAAAATCAAATTATATTACATTGAAATTGCAGTAGAATTATTGATTCTAATTACCATTATTTATTTGTTGACATCCGACCTGGACGGCCCAATTAGAAGAAACCACGTGGAGGATTAATCACTGACCCAACAGTATGAAAACTGTATGCAAAGAATTGAGAACCCGACTTGAAAGATCTCGGCGCAAGCCGGGGGAAGAACCGACCTCATCAATGGGCCGAGGACCGACTTCCATGTGAGACCGAGATCAGGGCATTAAATGCATATGGGACGCCTGCCAATCAGCCTCCACACTTTCATCATTACTTGTGGGACCACCTGCAGACTAGCCACTCCTAGACCGTCAATCCACATTTAATGTCGTTGAACCAGCCTTGAAGAACGAGCCTAGGATTGCTATAAATAGCATCATTTATTTCTGAACGATGAGAGGAATTTGAGAACATTTAACACAGATAAAGAACAACTCGGTTCCATTAAAAGCCGACTTCTTGTACTTAAATCCGACTTCAATATCATAAAAATTATATCACTTTACAGCTTCAATTCGTTTACCCTTGTGGTTATAGTTGTTAAATTTCATATAACAACATTATTGTTGTGTGAATTTCTGTTGAAACTTTTTTCGGACCATATTTCAAACGTTGGAAAAACTGTCATTAGAATTATAAAAAAATAAATAGAATTTTTATTGAAAAGCTAATTGCAGAGGTTGGATCCAAAATAATTTCATATTGGGGCAGTATTTAGTTAAAGTATACCATAAAAAATAACATAATATCATTACAATTTATAAATTATGAACATATAACTAGAATTCTATATACATTAATTAAAAAGATATAAAAAATATCTTTTGAATCTAGAGAAAACAATATGTTGGAAAAGAGAAAATAGAAGTTATCATTAAGAATAAAAAAAAAAATAGAATTAGTGGGTACAATTACATTTTTGAGATTTTATCATTCCTTTAGTCGTGATACCGCGTTTATGTTATAACTTTAATAAAGTTATGATCTAAATTAAATTATAATTGGTTGAGTTGTAAATTAATTCATTATATATCTTTCTTTATTTTAATATTATTTTCAAAATAGGGGACATAGTTGAATTATGAAAAATGTTTCCACAATTTTTGTTAGATATTTTGTCCTATATGTTTTGGAATGGGGGCCTGTGTGGGCTCTATTAAATAAACATGGATCTGTCCATGATTTCAACAAAATATTCCTGTTAGAATTTTTTCATTGGAAAATTCAAACGGGAGTAATACCATCAAAATATTCGTGTTATTGTCATTGAAATTCCGGTGCAATATATTTTCGTTAAAGTTTTCATTGAAATTTTGTCATTTTCTTGTATTAAAGTAGGGCTCTAAATATATAATATTGTGTGAAACAAATTATTATGAAAATTGTTGATAAAGATTAAAATATAAAACACTCAATGTAATCATCATTTAATTTATGATAATTTGTTTTTTTTTAAACAAACAAGATAGGTCTAGATTGAAAAGTCTTTAATTATTTTATTAGTCTTATAATAACTAAACAAGGGGTAAAGAATGAGTTTCACGTAATAAAAAGGTAAGACTACACAATGATAATGCCTACAACTTGCATTTAATCCAAAAGTCATTAATGTCCTATATCAATTGAAAAATATAAAACATATTTAAGATACACATATTATTTTAACTAGAACTTTTATGTACATAAAAA